TTAGTGATTCTCCTGTTTCCAGCCTCCCAAGTGCTGGGATTACAGGTGTGCCCAGTCTAATTCCCAGTCTCAGGGAGCCCCAGGGTTGGGGCCGGCACAGCATGCAGGCGATCAAATCCCGGGCTCTGTGCTCTGCCCAGGCAGAACCTTTAGTCTGCTATCTGGCCAGCCCTAACAATCTATTTTATTAAAAAACTTTTTTTTTTTATTTTCCCCTAAATGGATTTCATTGTATTTGAGAACGTAAGCACAGGTCCTTGTTTATTGCTGACTGATCCACTCATGGAATCCATAAAAGGTTATCATTTAGAAGATGAAAAAGCTGATCTTATGATAAACTGGCTTTCAGGAATCATTACGTTGAGTGTCTAGAGCTCAATTTACTTTGAGTAAAGAATTACTGAAACCTATCAGATTTGATGCAGATTCATTTAGCAAAGGGTACAAAAAGTACCTCTGGTTATCAAATTTAGAGAATGAGTCAAATGTTTATAAAATATTATTAGAGAATTTATTCCAACATCATGTAAATATGAACAATCTGAGACTCAAACTATTTTCTCCTAATGAGATTCATTTGTTGTTTGTAAGGTTGCTGTTTACTTGTGAATGAGTCTACAGATGGAAAGAAAGGGCAGCATGCATGGTGACACCCTCCTCAAACCCAACCCTCAGGAGGCTGAGGCAGGAGGACAAGTGCATGTTGGAAGGCAGCCTGGGATACAAAGTGAGTTGAAGGCCAGAGTGAACTGCACAGAAAGCCCCTGTCTCAGAAAGACAAAAGAGAGAGAGAGAGAGAGACCTACTCTCATCAGTTTTTCTTTATTTAATTTACTTTGATTTTTTTTCTTCCGGAACCAGGGATTGAACTCAGGCCCTTGTGCTTGCCAAGGAAGCGCTTATTCTACTGAGCCATCTCCCCAGGCCTAATTTACTTTGATTTCAATTTATTTAAATTGAAATTTAATTTAATTTACCTTTTTACCTTTAACTGTATTCAGTAATAATTTCTGTATTTCTTTGCATTCTTTAGTCATTTCAACTTTTCATTTTTATATACAAAAACAAAACAGCCCAAATATACACATGATATACACATACTCTTGACTTAGTTTAATGTACTGGCATTAGTAAAATAGATTTTGGTAGTAACATTCAGGGTACCTATTTACAATTGGTAAATATATAAATAATATGTAGTGTTCATGGTCTCAATATGGTGTGTCAATAATGTTACATTTATATAGGAGGGGTTACAGGACATAGCAGAAACAATGAGACTTTCAGAAGCAATTAAGTTCATAAAGAAATTAAGACATTTACAGAAAAATAAATTATATGCTGTTGAATATTTTCAAAAGAGATGTAAGTACATCAGAACCTTTTATTCAACTTTTTGTTATTTGAATATAGTTGTCATAGACTATATCTTATTTTAGCTTTATAAAAGTAAAATTAGGAAAGTGGATGTTATATTTCAGACATCAATAGCCATATTTGTTCATAAGCTCAGTTCTAGATCAAAAATTCAACTATCTTTTTATTTTTCTTACTCTATCTGGGAGACTTGATCCCTACAATCTGTATGTTTGTGTGTGTGTATGTGTGTGTGTTTGTGTGTGTGTGTGTTTGTGTGTGTGTGTGTGTGTGATCTCCATATATAGTTTTCTTGCTGTTCTTGTTAGAGCAGAATTACTTTCACTAGAAAATTGAGAATGCACAAACACTTTCTCTTTATCCCTTGTTTTCTGCCTTGCTATCTTGACCCAATATCAACTTCCTCCACTACTTGTAAAACAGGATTAACCTGTATTGAAACTTGAATCATCCAAAACAATTAGTTTACATTAAAGTTTAGCTTTGATCTAGGCCTTTCAAGGTCAGTGAAGACTCAGGACATGGGAGAGCATGTACTGTACCATGTAATTCAGTTGTGCCCCAAATTTCCTGATCACGGAGATTGTGGGGCCACAGAGCAATGTGATTGGTGATGTAGAGTGTGCCTAAGGAGAGTCACATGGAGAGAAAATATTCTCTCAGGCTTTCACAGAGAGCATATTGGTCAAGCAATGGCCATGACTCATCCACATGGCTGACACTCACAAAGGATCTACAAAGTGTGGCACAGGGTTACAGAATAAATCCTGAGAGTACTTGACTGACCTTATTAGATACAAATGTCATGTTTCTTGTTATATAGGTCTTGCTTTATCTTGGTCTTAGCCATCCAGCAGAAAAGTATAAAAACGAGGTATATAAAGTTAGACTATATTAATATTCTGAGCTGTGAAAGGCTCAAGTCAACAACTTCTGTGGATAACCCACTACTATTGTTGACTGCTGGACTGTGTTGGATTGTTTTGCTGAATTCATGCACTTATAGTATATAGATGCTAATGGAATACCCATCTCTGACAGGACTAAACAAAAATGGGGGATACAAAGGAAGGACCATTTTGTATCTGTATATATAGAATAGTTAGGATAGATATACAGCTACTTTTGCTTAATTCATTGTGAAGAAAGATTTGTACTAATAGCGTTTGGACAGGATATTCTGCCTGCTTCTTGTACTATGGATAACCACTAAGAAGATAACAATGTACAATGTCTTAACTATTAAAACTGCCCTATTAATCAGTTTTGAAACTGTCTCATTGCTATTTGTTTCTCAATAGAATAAAATATTTTTTTAAAAAAAGAAAGGAAATCCATTCAATTGAGAAAAAAATAAAGTTCATATTTGAGCTGGTAAAGTCTGGATTTGGATCAATGTGAAAAGACAGGTGTCTCTTACAGTGTGTGTCATGCAGAGTATTTTCATTGCTTTAAGAAGCATCCCATGTACCCCATCTGTTAATTTTCCTCTTGCTCCTCTTCCCTTGGCAACTACTAATTTTTACTTGTCCATAGTTTTGTCCTTACAGAAAGTTATATTGGAACCATTTAGTATGGAGCTATTTCTCATTAGCGTTTTTCTCTTAGTAATTGCATTTAAGTTTTCTCCATTTCTTCACATAGTTTCACAGGTTATATCTTTTTGTATTGAATAATGTTCCATTTTCTGCATGGATCCACCCACTGCAGGAGCTTTTGACTACTTCTACATTTTTTTTTCTATATTTTAGGGAAGGGTCTACAGGGTATTAATGGTCTCACTACTAAATCAAACTTGGAGTGATCTGCCTGTTTACATCTTCCCAAGTGCTGGTATTACAAGCGCACACCACCATGTCAGTTGCTGCCTCAGAGTGCCCCTAGGGCGGGGCCCACACAGCAGGATGGGAATCTAATCCCTGGCCGCTGTGCCTGCTTGTAGGTGCTTTAATCTGCTGAGCTATTTGGTCGGTCCTACATTTTGATAATTGCAAATAAACAATTGGTGCACAAGTTTTCTGTGCACATAGGTTTTAAATCTTTTAAGTGAATACCAAGAAACATAACTATTCAATCATAATAAAAGTAGCTTTGTACAAACCTGCTGAATTATGTTCTAAAGTGGCTGCACCTTTTTGCTCTCTCAATGGCAGCTAAGGAAATTTCCTGTTGTTTCCTGTCGTCTCAGCGTTTCTGTCGGTGTTGCAGGTGTGGTAATTCTATTAAGTATGCAGCAATATTGAATTAACTCGCATTTCTCTGAGGACATGCTGTGAAGTACCTTTTCATATATTTATTTGTCATTTGTGAGTCTTTTTGGTGCAATTTCTACTAAGATCCTGGAAATGCATGTTATTTTAACTACTCTTTATTGAATTGAAATGATGTTGTAGATTTTAGATATTTGTCCTTGATATGATGTGTCTTTTGCACATATTTTCCTCCAGTTTGGTTTGTCCTATTCTTTTTCTTGTAATAGGCGCTTATTTCAAAATATAGTTATCTACGTAGAATTGATGTAATAATTCAGAAATATTCCTCTGAATTGTCAAAACCTTACTTACTCAGCTGTGTGAAGTATACTGTAAGCCTTACAATTAAAAAAAATATGAGGCTCATGGCCCAGCTTTGCTGCAGTGTGCTGCTGCCGCTTTACTCTCAAGAGCACTGCCCAGAAAGCAAGCACGGAGAAAGTCGCCCACACGAAGTTGTACCAAATCCGATATACTGGGTGTCCCATATTTGCCTGATTTGTTCTCAGCGATCCAGCTGGAGTGTGCTTGATTCAGATGAACTAATGGACATCTGTTGGTCTCCATAACTTTTACATTTGGTATAGTATTTTACCGACTGTATAATTTAAAATAACCGCAAAGCTTTACATATTCCTTTTGACTGTTCTGTAGCAGAATAAAGCACTTGGAAGGAAACAAGGCTCCCCTTCACGCTGGGTTATAAGTTTCAGTCCTGGCATCTGTGTTTTTATGAGTTTTGTGTAGATTTTGTTTCTTATTTTAAATTCAAACCCCACACTGTAAAGTTTGTACAATTTGCCCTGAAGCTTTGTGTTTGGCTGTACCTGAACATACTGCTATAAATATAATAAAGAATCTCTTAGCCTTTATCTATCATTTAGATTCATGGAAAAATGGGATTGGCACACACTGGGTTTGGAGCTGACTGAGAACAATGGGAAAATTACATCAGCAATAGCTGTAAAGTTGTTTTATTGTTTGTTTGTTTGTTTGTTTGTTTGTTTAAC